GAAAATACAACACCACAAATAAAATCCATAACTATATTTTAACAGTTTTCCACAGTTAGTTGCTGTGTTATAGGAAACAGACAGACTGACTCCAACTTATTGCAACATTTATGGTAGTCTTTTCTGACCTGTTGGTTTTCTTGACAGTCTCATTGTTAAGCCAATAAATACCCAACGTGGCATGACTTCGTCTTATTGGATAAAACAGATGCTGACAAAGTTTAAGTTTGAGGGCGTAATTTGCAGTTGACAAAGGTGATAAATTGCGCTATATGTTACTGAAATGCTGGGGTAGGGCTTGGTTTCTGTGGACTCACACAGAAACCAACTTCCACAACAGTTTTGTTTTGTATCCTATCAGATTTTATTGTAATTAAAAAACATTATTCTCCTATTCCTCATTTATGTACAACCCTGGCAATAAAAGTGATTCTGATTCTGGTTACAGGGAATAGATGTAAGTTGCACAAAAGTGAGTGGTGAGCTCAGCAGTTTTGCATGTCTAGTGCTGGTTCCTCCTTCTCTGTTTGGGGTTTGATTCACACCACAGAGAGAGTAAAGAAGAACAATTTTTAACGATGCGAAAACAGCGCTTGTTGCAATTTCACATCAGTAAAAATAAAGGATGCAAAAATAAGCGCCCCGTGGCACAGAATCACACTCTTTCTTGCAAGTTTCCTGCAACATGTGACGGATGTGATAGATAACGTTTCAAAGGAAGCAGTGGGATGATGATGCACATGTTTAGAGAAACAAATGAGCTGATGCGAGGCTTCTCATTATGTGTTTAACTTCAGACTTTAAATTGCAGCATCCACACAACAACACTTTCACTCTCTTTCCACCTTTCTGTATCTCCTCCATCTTCCTCCCTCTCCTCCACTCTTCCTCGCTACGGTATGTGGAGCAGAGTGACTAATGATCAGTGGCTCTGTCACACACGGGAGACTTGCTTTCCCTGCAGCCACATCCAAAATTAGCACACACAGACACCTATGAGAACACAGGCGTACACAAGTCTGCGTGCAGACGTTTCCAACCAAAAACCAGAAAGGTGCATGCACGCACTTGCAGATGAGCAGCTCCACAAGAGCGCTCTGACCTCTGTAGCACAGCACACAGACGGAGGTGTCATTTGTCTCAGTGAAACATTTCTGTGCCACAAAGAGAACTTTTTCTTTCCTTGCAGAGAATAAGATTGGTTGTTTGGAGCCCCTGATCTGCTGTAGATATTGAAGTCCTGTGAAGTCCCGATACTGCACGGCACTAAATGCTGTGCTCTGATCTTGTGCTCTCTCTGCTGGATGGAAGCAGCAAATACAAATCAGCTTTCAAAAGCTGTTTTCTTTTCAGGAGCACTTTAAGAGTATTGCACTTGCTGGAATGAAATGAATAAAACCACAGTTTCTTGTCTCTTCAGTGTCTTTCCTGCAGCAGGCTGCTAACTGACCCCAGATCACACAGCAACCAACCCACACCTGAAGAACAGAGCAGCTCCGGCATCAAACCTCCCTCTAGTGTTTCGTGTTGTGCACAATTCCAGATAATTCGGTGTTCAAACACTCGTAATCGTGGCTGGATTTGTACGAGCTCAAACGAAAGGAAAAAAAAGATTTTGCGAGATTCAAGCTTTTGTGGTGCAGATCGGTGCTGCTCACAGCTGTTTAAACATGAGAAAAAAGGGGGGGAAAGAGCCATATCCTAGCGACTGAATGTGGTTGCAATGTTCTTCCTGTTTTCACAGACATAAATTATCTCTGATCTAAACCATAGCATGCGAAAGAGTCTTATCTCCATTTCCATAACTGCAAAAATAGCAACACAAACAGCAGATGTTTGCTGAGGGTACGGGCAGACGGATCCTAAACCAAAAAGAGAACAGTTCATATAAAAGCACTTTTAGTTTAAGCCATTTTATTTTCTTTTTTAATTTTTGCACATTTGCTCAGTTCCTACAATAATATCAGTCATGTTTTGACAGGTGAAGTACTACATATCATTTTTAAAGGGTATCCTGTCCTTATTTACTTCAACACCCTATAAATTGTAGTCAGGAGAATGATCTCTGTTGAATCCTTCGCTAATGCAAAAGGATTTTGCATCAAAAAGCTGATTAGAGACCCAAAGCTCACACAATAATTTAGCCAAAAGTAGCTCGCGGCACCTCTTTGCAGAACAGGTCTTTACAGAGGACGTGCAAAGCCCTTAAACTCTTCTTTGTTTCTTCTGTTTCACAAATTAACTGTGAAATATCATCACGTTACAGTGTGTGCGTGCATGTCTGTATATGCTCCATCCTTTTACACCATCACAGCGTGCAGTCACATGTTGAAGCCTAAAATAGTCAGCGTGACGTAGTTCTAAAATATATCATAGTTCAATAAAAGTGTTATGGAACAGTGTGGCTGAATTTATAAACAGAAACAGGAAGTCACATGCTGGGTGGAAGATATCGGCCCCGATGGGTGAGATAAAATGTAGAATGAAAAGAGTTCCCGTGCTTCTGTTTCTGTTCTAACCAGATCCCTGTTTTCATGATGCTGAAAGTGAAAGTCGTTGCAAAGCTGTGGCGTAACCTTCAAACTCCTTCACTTTCCATCACAGGTACAAACCTCCCCCTCAGGGATCTTTTGCCCACTGCTCCAAGGCTCACTCTAATTGTCATCCAACTATTCCTTCTGCCTCTTTTGCCCCTTTTTATGTGATTTCTTGACACGCTTTCTCTTTGAGGATCTTTCTGCTGTCATGTGTGATTTTGTCAGAGCTCTCTGAAATTTTCAGAGATTCATTTTTTCATGAAGCTCGTTCTTCTGTGAAGCCCATCATGTGTCACTTTGGATAATCCGAGAAAAGTCTATGACATGATGAAAATCCGACATCACCAGTGGAAAAATTCCCGGAGTGTACATGCAATTCTTCTTGTAGTAGATTATTAAAATCAATTTTGCTGGATTCATGTTCTCAGCTGCTCCTATGAGCTGTGACAGTATGGCTGTCTTCATCCTGTTCTGATCCTGGAGACAACTTTTATTTTTCATTTTTTGGCACGTGGCTACAGTTAGGTCTAATTTGTCAGACAAGACACAATATTTCATAATTTGTATAGTGTTGCCTCTTCATACTGCCTCCATGGATTCATTCAGACTGGTATTGCATTAATTGTTTAGGAATATCAGACATTTTTACACAAAATCCTCAAATTTCTAAAAGTTTTGCTTTGGTTTATTGTCCATTTGCACTTTAAATCATTGTCCAGATAGTTTTGGAGCATTTGTCTGAATCTGAGCAGAGACTATAACCCTGTACACTTCACAAGCCATCCTGCTGCTTCTTTGCAGTCACATCATCAGTAAACACTGATGAACTATTATCAACCACACATCTGCATAACATCCTTCACCATGTTTGACAGATGATGCAGTCCGCTTTAGATCCCGAGCAGTTTCATCAAGGTTATCTTGGTTTCATCAGTCAAATGTTTTTTCCACAACTGTGCAGGCTCCTTTAGATGCTTTCGTAAAGCTGTTTCGGTCTATTTATTCATCTTTTGTGGTCTTACTGCAGCAGGAATGATCACAAAGTTGCATTCGCTGGTGCAACTGAAATCATTATTAAGAGTTTAGGTGTGGTGTGTGATCGTACACCACATGGTCTCTAAGTATTCACTCTTCCTGAAGTTTAAATATGTACAAGTATGACGTCCTTTGAGGTTGTTTCTTCCACAATGGGCGTCTTGAGGACCATATTTTGCAGTGGTGAGACAGAAAAGAGCGAAATCAACATTAAAAAAACAAAAAAACATCATCCCATCATCAAAGTAAAAATGGGGAGTTGGTTAGTTAGATAGCTGCTAGTTTCTTGTTTACCCTTCTTGAAAACCCTACAGAAAAATAATTTCCATAAAAACCAGACTGCTTTACGAATCCTCACAATGAATGTGCGAGTTCATCGTGAGGAATGGTTAAAAAAGCATTCCTAAGAAAGTTGGATTCCCCCTCTCTCAAAATGTCTGCAGGAGAGAAAGAAAGAGAAGGAGAGAGACTTTTCATGTCCTTTAATGACACAATTGACCAAAAATAACTAAAAACACCTTCAAACCCAGCAGCTCGCTGAGAGGCCGCAGGAAGCAGGACATACATACAGTAATGAGGTTAGCTCCCAAATGGCATCCCACCGTATTTCAAACAGTGCCAACATTCTCCATCCAAGCCATCACTTACATAATGCAGTGCACATTTGCAGCTCTTTACATTGAGGTCTGTTATTTATTTATTTATTTTTAAATATAATATATAAACTGTGAACTTGGCTGCTTCTCTTATCACTGAAAAATTAATCAAGTCCAACAGGAAACATGAGGGAACGGAGACGCTGCTGTGCGTCAGCTGGAAAAAAGAAAGAGATAAATAAAGGAGGGGATCCAGGGGTCACTTCAACTAAATAAAGCTACAAAAGATATGAATCTGATTCTTTCTACAGGCTTTGCAGTAGTGAAAATAAATGCCTTTCATTGCCTTGAATGCATTTTATTCTATTTACAACTTTACATTCACTTTTTTCTCCCTCCCCTAATCGCATCTGTCATAAAAACAGACTGTTTGGCACTAATTATTTTGTCCCCTTATATCCCACATCATCACATAGACATTTAATACAGACACCATTCAAAGGAGGTGCAAAGCATTTCAGATAAACCAACAAAGACTAGCGTGATAGGACTGCAATACCTCCTCTGGTAAATAAATACTTTTTTCAGCCATCAGGGGGCGCAAGAAGTGACCTGAAATCTCTCCTTTTACATGATTTCTTTCTTTCTTTTTTTACCCTACAGCTGGTATTGTTTGTGTGTCATGATGACAATTGCGTGGTCCTGGAGACCCTCTGCTGTAGTAGGAAATACCACACCGACAGGTTCGAGTACTTTGTGGACAGATTCTTTCAACACAGTTTCACAAACATGCAAGATGCAGTCACAAAATGTTACAAGTGTTTAGAGATTGAAAAAAAAAAGAAAGAAGGTGAGTTTAGAGAGGAGCGTGGTCCGCTCACGTGAAACCAAGCGGTCACCCCGAGGTTGAGGGTGTTGTCTGCTCCAAGGTACGAAGCAATCAGACTGGTGAATTTTTGCTGATAATCATTGTTTAGTTGACTTTATAAATGGAGACAGATCATCAACATGTTGCACTCAGTCTATAGTAGTCTGCATCGAAGAGTACAACTTGTCTGCAAAGTGTCTCGTTGTAGTAAGGGGTTTGGATCAACTGGTTGCAAACTATTATTCTCCTGTTAGAATGCAAGGTTGTTGAGCAATCCTGCAGCAACTACGTCACTATTGAAACAGAGGGAGTTCTCTTTCAAATCTGTGAGGTTCTGGATGGATTCCGAATTTGAAGTAGTTGTTGTGAATTTCAGTGTTTGTTATCACATACAGACTGCCAACTTGACTCCATTTAGTCTTTTTGTTCCTTTATAGTCATCTCGATGCAACAAATTCGCTTTGAAGACAACGACTGACTGCAAGTTGTTGCAGATCCGATTTACGTTGTCAAAGCAACCATTTCAAAGGCAATGACATTAAAATTTAATTGCACACAGTTGCAATAATTGCCTCCAACCATTATTTCCCCCAGTCTGGTTGCAGCATTAGATATCTAACACAGTGCTCTCAGGGTCAAAAAAATGTCTTTGAGTCTTAGGCAGAAAAGACAGTTTGTTTAACCCTTGTGAGGTCTGAGTCGTTATTGGTAACAGCTCATAGCCCCAAGCCCTAACCCAAGACGTAAGTTTTTTTCAGTTAGAATGATTATTTGTTTGAAAAATGACTTATTCTGATAGCACAGGGTTAGGGTCATCCTCAATGAGGGCTGAGATCTCATAAGGTTAAACTGGTTTTAATAACAGGGTCCGAATAAAATGAGCATTTACGGAACTCATCATCTAAAAACGCTGATCATATTTTTACGTGAGTCTGAACACCATCTCGCTTCTATGATGGGCGACAGCTCTGAGAATTCATAAAACATAACATCACATATAATGCAAGGTCTCCTCTAAAACCACAAGCCATTAGCTCCCCGCAACAAAATATCACTTGACTTTGCACTGTACAAATGTCAGATGATGTGTTCGCACATATGCAGACAGTAATTTCACTGTGTGATACTCTGAGGGTTAATGTCTGCCTGCTGGCAGACACACAGCTCCACTTCTCTTCCTCCGGGGAAGTTCATCGGAGCAGATGCTTGAAGGTCAGTGGATCACCGGGAGATGAGCGAGTGGAGAAATCTGCACTTTTTTCACTTAATCCCTTTCAACACTAAACGCCACTGCTTGTCTTTTCTTTTGTTATTGTTGAGTTATTCTGCAGCTGGAGTCTAGTACATCAGTTTATGCTGCTGAAAGGGCAAACGTCCTGTCCTTACGCAGCATGTGTGTACATGTAAATGTATACAGATGGATGAGTGAGTGCGTGTCAAACCTACGGACATTCAATACACGGTAGTGTTGGCAGGTGTGTGTATGTTGAGCGTGGAGGAGTGTATTCCTGTTGGTGGAGCAGTGAAGCTATAAGCTGCATACGCTACAGCGGAGCCAACCATCAGGCCTGTCATGTAGGAGACAGTCATAGTATTCCCTGGCAAGAGAGAGCAGAGAGTAACTGTAGAGCTGATCATACTGCCTAATCCGGGGGGAATGCCATTTTTAAATAAAGAATACTGCTCGGCGTGAACAAGTAAGCAAGAAACATGTTAGATAGTGAGTAACAAGTCTAAGAAAGTACATCTTTGCTATCCACTCTTTGATGTTCTTGCATATTAGCATCAGCAGGGATAGCATGTGCCATTATAACCATCCTAATTTAGCATGCTAATTTAGCAAGCTAACATTAATAGGAGCGCAAGACACCAAGCACAGGTCACTCAGAGGAAAATTATAATAAAATCTATAATTATAATCTAAATGTAACTTTAGTATTTCTTCACAAAATCCCAGCCTGAAAACAATGTCAGACTGCTAGCTAAAAAAACTCTTGAAATATGCACTACTTTTGAGTGTTAAAGATAAAATTTAAAAAGCATCTCACAGGTAATAATGTTTAATATTATAGTGCACATAACAGTGTTGAGTTTGTTTGATATCTTATATGTAATCCTTCTCTGAAGGCTTAAGCTAACATAAAATTACATCTAATATAGGCTATATTTGCCTGGTTGCTACTAGCTAAGCTAAGCTAGCTGTCAGGCCAAAAGTCATTCATTCTAAAGAAAGGCAACTTTATTAAGTTGATAAAATAATTAAGTTACAGTTACAGTGCTAAGGTCAGTGTTATGCTGCTAAGAAGAATATAATGATCTAATTTACAACCATTTAATGGTATTCTTATGACATACAACAACTTATATAGCTAAAATTAGGCTAATTGGGTCTAATCAACTGGCTTCAGTTCAATTATTGATGCTTTTTATTTAACAATAAATCAGACAAAAGAAGTCAAAAATCACCTGCAAGCTCCCGCTGTTCAGGCGGCACTTTGCCCGCAGCCTGGATCATCGGTACAGACCCAAAATATCCGTTGGTGACTCCCATGAGGAGAGAAAAGAGACAGGGCCAGGCAGGATGGGATAGGGTGGGTTCATTGGCCGGATACACACACATGACAAACAGAGGGATGAAGACCACCCTCAGGCAAGAGAAGAAGAGCAGACGACCCCCAGACCAGTCATATGGCAGCGCTGCCAGGATCTGAGGGGACAGCAGGAGTGTTTCAGTCAGGCTGTGTATTACACTTTGGAAAAACAAGGAAAAATATTCAAATAATATATGAAATATATGAGCATTTGCAGTTTTGAACTTAAGACCGTTATGTTCAGTAATTCTCCATTGCTTGGAACAATTTCTAAGGAAAGCACTTTTCAGGGAAAATAAATAAGAACAATAACAGTATTAGTGCAAAACAAAGTGAACCGTGAGAGAAATGCAAAAGAAAAATCCTCTTTACACTTTTCCAGTCTCTTATCGTGACATTTTTCTTTCTCTCTCTCTTTTTTATACCTCTAAGCTACCTTAATTTTTCCTTTTCCTTTTTCAATTTAATTCCTCTTCTAATCTCTTTCCCTTTTCATTTGAAGAAAAAACTCAATTTGCCGCGAGGACAAAGCCAAAGCCTACATAACAACTTTCACTAAACCAATGTTGGTGCCTTCAAAGTCAAAATTATGACCCAAGGAAACCAGATAAGTTTCAGAGTGTTCGGATGAAGCCTCCGAGCTATAGTAAGTGCAATTATCCCACAATACACCAGACGTTTTACCAGCCTTACGTTAAATTAATGGGTCGACGACTTTAATGGTTTCACGAGGTTAACTCTGCCTTTCTGTCTTTCTTGTTCCTTTAATGCCAAGATGCCTGTAAATGGAAATTTAAATCCCAAAATCTCAGTAAGTGTAGCGTGAGAAGGGCAATAGCATTTAATATTGATGTTAAACCAGTGGATTTTATACATTGGCAGTAAGTTAATACAGGCCCAGTTCCAAAAATGATGGGATTCACAACAGAACAAACCTAAAACTTAATTTAAAAAGAGCATCTTAGAGAGGCAGACTTTCAGCAATCTGCAAAAAAACTGCATTTTTGGAACAATTTCAGTAATATTCCTCATCATCTATTATACATATAGATCAAAAGATTCTGATAATTTTGGAGAAATCTCTGTGCACAAGGGACAAGGCTGAAAGACACATCAGACAGCACTGCATTAAAAACTACGGAAGCCTGTTTCCGCCACAAAAAAAAGTATCCATAACTTGAAATTTTGAATTATTTTCTTGAAATTTCGACTTATTAACTCGACATTTTGCGTTAGCGCTGCCAATCAGTAATCTACGTGAATGAAGTCGTTTCCTTGTTACCCGGAAGCCGAAGCCCTCAGCTACAAATGCTACAGCTAAACTAACAGTATTATAGCCAGTCATGAACGCACAAATTGCTGGTTATTTTCTTCACTAATGATGAAATCCTTGTGTTATTAGCTGAATCACGTGGCGTTACTATCAGCAAACGTACTATAAAAAGCCCCAATTTGTTGCGATCCGGTTTTGAGTGTGTATTTCTCTGTGCCGTATCCTTCCAGGTTGCAAGAAAATGACGCCATTCATGTAGATTACTGATTGGCAGAGCTAAATCGAAATGTCGAGTTATTAACTCGAAATTCTGAGAAAAGTAAATTGAAATTTCAAGTTAATAAGTCAAAATTTTGAGCTATATCATATGGATACCCTTTTTTTTGTGGCGGAAACAGGCTTCCATAAAAAACAGACATGACTCTGTCATAGAAATCACTGTGGGCTCAGGAGTGCCTCCAAAAATCACTGTGTCTGACCACACTGTGCTATTCGCATATGAAGATACAGCTCCATCGTGCAAAGAAGAAACCATATTCATCCAAAGAACATGATCCATGTTCTTTGGATGAATAAAGAACATGGATCAGCCAAAGGCAAGGCTTTGGATTTTCTTTTTTCATTCACATTTTACACGGTGTCACAAAAGTTTTGGAAGCAGTATGTGAGGCTGGGAAAGAATGTCTCGGACTCCCGGACCATCAGCACCGGCTCCCCTCAGGGCTGTGTTCTTTCTCCTCTGCTCTTCTCCCTGTACACCAACTGCTGCACCTCCACCCACCAGTCTGTCAAGCTAATCAAGTTTGCAGATGACACCACCGTTATCGGACTCATCTCGGACGGGGACGAGTCTGCCTACAGGAGGGAGGTTGAACGTCTGGTGTCCTGGTGCAGCCACAACAACCTGGTGCTGAATGCCCAGAAGACAGTGGAGATTATTGTGGACTTCAGGAAGCACACAGCTCCACTCCCCCCCATCATCCTGACTGACACCCCCATCACCTCTGTGGACTCGTTCCGCTTCCTGGGTACCACCATCACCCAGGACCTGAAGTGGGAGCCCACCATCACCTCCGTCATTAAAAAAGCCCAGCAGAGGATGTACTTCCTGAGGCAGCTGAAGAAATTCAACCTGCCAACACGGACGATGATGCAGTTCTACACTGCAATCATCGAGTCCATCCTCACCTCCTCCATCACTGTGTGGTACGCTGGAGCCACTATCAGGGACAAACAGAGACTGCAGCGTGTTGTGCGCTCTGCTGAGAAGGTGATTGGCTGCAGACTCCCATCTCTGCAGGACCTGTACACCTCCAGGACACTGCGGCGTGCAGCTCAGATCTCAGCTGACCCTTCTCACCCTGGACACAGTCTGTTTGACCTGCTCCCCTCAGGCAGGAGGCTCCGGTCCATTCGCACCAGAACCTCTCGCCATAAGAACAGTTTCTTTCCCTCTGCTGTCGGACTCATGAACAATAACCGTATGACTGTTCCCACCACTAACACATGACCCTACGCTATGTCACTGCATCATTCCATGTTTGGCACTGATCACCACCTGCACTCATGTATATATCATGTATATATCTATCTACTTAGCACTTTTAATTCTTATTCTTATTTTTATATTTTTATGACAGTATGTTGCACTGAAGCACCGCAGCAATTTCCTAATGTTGTAAACCTGCTCAACATCTGGCAATAAACCCTTTCTGATTCTGATTTCTGATTTCTGAACTGGGGTTGTTCTCTTCCAAGTTCTCTCCAAAAACTTAAATCCCTGGAATCAAAGGTTAAAAGTCACCACCGTGAATATATGAATATATGATTCTAATCTCTCCGATTTTATAAAAAGTATCATGTGTGAAGTTTTATTCATGTAAAAGTCACCACCCACAATGTTTAAATTCAAACTTGTGAAGTTAATATATGGCTCACCTTGCCAACAAAGTCCGACATGTTGAAGGTGGCCATGATGAGGATGGGGAGCCATTCACCTAAGGTGGAGTTTCGTATCTCTGACTCCAGCCCGGGAAACAGACAGAGAGTGATGCTGTAGGTCACAGCTATTGACAGCATGTAGGCCCAGATCACGCGGGACACCACGTAACGATGCAAGATCATGTCTGGTTTGAGAACACACACACAGGACCGTATTAAAAATTCAAATGATTCACTCGAGCAGTCATTTCATTGAGATCGCTCCTCTACCTAAATAAAAATCACCAGGGGATGCATTTAAATTTCAGATCCATCTGTTGGAGTCAGAGGGTAATTGAGAAGTGATTAGACAAGATTTTGAAAGAGACTACCTCGGAGCCCGGGCCAGCTCCTTCTCATCTTGGCTTTTGGGGCATCAAATCGAACATAGGTACCGCCCGCAATGTCCTCGACGCCTTCCTCCACAGAAGACGCTCCTGTACCACCGTTTCCCTGAAGAGAGACAGACGAGATGTTTACTGTAATCTTCTAAACTGAACAGACACACGAGACTTTATGTTAATGCTTTCAAATCTTAATTGTAACATATCTCTCTCTATATATATCTATAGACATATATGAATGAAATGAAAAGAATGTAAAATAGTTAGATATATCAAATCATTCAGACATTTATTTCTCTTTACACGTAGTGGGTGTGCAACAGAAAACATGAACATTTAATATCAATGTGCTGAACGACCCTAGCTTCAGGAACTCATCTGTGTTGGATCCAATGACGTATTTAAAAATAATCAGGAGGTTAATCCTTCAACACTGTGGGAAAGATGTCCTAAGGGAGAATTTTCTAGTCAGAACATACTTGTAAAAACTACAAGATTAAGATTGTTATTAAAGATCACTACATTACAACCCCAATGTGAAAAAATCAACACGAAATAGACCCGATAATGACAATGAGTGAAGATGTGGAAAAAAATAAGAGTCACAAAGCAAGAACATTATGTCGCGGGCCCTAAAGCGGCAAACTTGTTAGTTTGCAGACTGTGAAAACAACAATCAGAAAGCACTTTTCATGAGATCAGAGCTCCAGCTACTCATATAATTACTTACAGTTTGGGTGGTATCCAAAAAAACTGATTAGGGGGAGAGAGGAAGAAAAAGACTGCTTTCTCTCTAAGTGATCATTTTAGATCTTAGCCGCTGCTTTAAACTTATATTCACGATCGTTTCAAGATTTTTAGAGGTGAGTGAAAACGGTCTTGTAAGTTAATGGGCTACATTTCCCTGTTTCACACTCTCATCTCTGTGTGATGACAGAAGCAGATATGTAAATGAGAACAGCGTTTTGAGGATATTTGCTGTACCACAGAATAAATACAGGGAGTGCAGAATTATTAGGCAAATGAGTATTTTGTCCACATCATCCTCTTCATGCATGTTGTCTTACTCCAAGCTGTATAGGCTCGAAAGCCTACTACCAATTAAGCATATTAGGTGATGTGCATCTCTGTAATGAGAAGGGGTGTGGTCTAATGACATCAACACCCTATATCAGGTGTGCATAATTATTAGGCAACGTCCTTTCCTTTGGCAAAATGGGTCAAAAGAAGGACTTGACAGGCTCAGAAAAGTCAAAAATAGTGAGATATCTTGCAGAGGGATGCAGCAGTCTCAAAATTGCAAAGCTTCTGAAGCGTGATCATCGAACAATCAAGCGTTTCATTCAAAATAGTCAACAGGGTCGCAAGAAGCGTGTGGAAAAACCAAGGCGCAAAATAACTGCCCATGAACTGAGAAAAGTCAAGCGTGCAGCTGCCAAGATGCCACTTGCCACCAGTTTGGCCATATTTCAGAGCTGCAACATCACTGGAGTGCCCAAAAGCACAAGGTGTGCAATACTCAGAGACATGGCCAAGGTAAGAAAGGCTGAAAGACGACCACCACTGAACAAGACACACAAGCTGAAACGTCAAGACTGGGCCAAGAAATATCTCAAGACTGGTTTTTCTAAGGTTTTATGGACTGATGAAATGAGAGTGAGTCTTGATGGGCCAGATGGATGGGCCCGTGGCTGGATTGGTAAAGGGCAGAGAGCTCCAGTCCGACTCAGACGCCAGCAAGGTGGAGGTGGAGTACTGGTTTGGGCTGGTATCATCAAAGATGAGCTTGTGGGGCCTTTTCGGGTTGAGGATGGAGTCAAGCTCAACTCCCAGTCCTACTGCCAGTTTCTGGAAGACACCTTCTTCAAGCAGTGGTACAGGAAGAAGTCTGCATCCTTCAAGAAAAACATGATTTTCATGCAGGACAATGCTCCATCACACGCGTCCAAGTACTCCACAGCGTGGCTGGCAAGAAAGGGTATAAAAGAAGAAAAACTAATGACATGGCCACCTTGTTCACCTGATCTGAACCCCATTGAGAACCTGTGGTCCATCATCAAATGTGAGATTTACAAGGAGGGAAAACAGTACACCTCTCTGAACAGTGTCTGGGAGGCTGTGGTTGCTGCTGCACGCAATGTTGATGGTGAACAGATCAAAACACTGACAGAATCCATGGATGGCAGGCTTTTGAGTGTCCTTGCAAAGAAAGGTGGCTATATTGGTCGCTGATTTGTTTTTGTTTTGTTTTTGAATGTCAGAAATGTATATTTGTGAATGTGGAGATGTTATATTGGTTTCACTGGTAAAAATAAATAATTGAAATGGGTATATATTTGTTTTTTGTTAAGTTGCCTAATAATTATGCACAGTAATAGTCACCTGCACACACAGATATCCCCCTAAAATAGCTAAAACTAAAACAAACTAAAAACTACTTCCAAAAACATTCAGCTTTGATATTAATGAGTTTTTTGGGTTCATTGAGAACATGGTTGTTGTTCAATAATAAAATTATTCCTCAAAAATACAACTTGCCTAATAATTCTGCACTCCCTGTATATTACATAAGTGTACAGAAATTAGGCGAGCAGCATAGAGGTGGTGATGTTAGCTGCATTAGCTGCAAGATGCAAACTTTGTTTTGGAGGTTTTGGAGTTTTATGTTTTGCGGGTGATATAGTTTTGGAGTTAAAGTAAGCAAACGGTGACTCCAGAAAAGAGCAAAAACCCAGCTGGTTATTATATTAGGAATGCAGATCCATTCTGCAGGTGTGGGCAGTACTTATCATCTTTTGAAGTCACAGCCTCCCTCGTATACTCATCCTTATCTTTGGGATAAAAAAAAGGGTCCTTTGTCCTCAAAAACACTAAAACATGTGATTCTGTCCCCTTTTAATTCCCTATGCTAGAAAATACTGAACTGTATTCATTTTTAAACATAGTTCTGAGTGGGAAAATTAAGACTTTGTTGCTCATTTCTGAAAACTTATTTAAAGCATTTGAAGGTTCTTTAAGGAAACACTAGAGGTAGCCATCACACAATAAATAAACACATTCACTTTTACATGACATTCCCTTTTTATGACAGTGACTATTAGAGAGGATGGCTGTGACCGGCTGAAGGTTGACTCAATGATGTCCACCACCACCACACACAGACATCTTTCCGGGTATGGGCACCTCCCTTTATGCTGAGGTCTTTCCAAATACACACTAATTCACTGAGCCAGGTGCTGCACGCAACACACACACACACACACACACACACAAAACACACCACACACACACACACACACACACACACACACAACACACACACACACACACACACACGACACACACACACACACACACACACACACACCACACCAGAAGAGAGATAGATCCATTAGTTGATTAGAGGGGCTGCCGGGCCAGAAGGCACTCCTATTCTTGATTATCGCATAATAGGAAGAGCTGCATTCATTTCCCATGGCAACCAGAACAAAGAGCTGCCAGAATCAACCCCAGACACACACACACAGAGCTGTAAAACACCGCGGGACGTCCATCACACACTTGTATGTAATGGCGCACATACAAATATGAACACGACACAGCACAGCCACACACAGCACACACGAGACACACACACACACACACACACAGCCACACACACACACAGACAGACGACACACACACACACACACACACACACACACACACACACACACAGAGCAGGATGAGCAGTACTAGCTTCATGTCTTCAGGCTACAAAAATGCTGCTCAAAGCACAGCTACAAAGTGGGTTTCAATTCAAAGTCGTTTTCTTTCCCTCTTTTCCTCTCGTTGTCATGGCCGGTGTCCTGCTCTCTTTCCCTTCTCTTCCTTTAATTTGTTTTGTCTTATGTTTTCTCTACAATTTTTATGAGCTCTTCCCCACTCTCTGCACTGCCTCTCTCACTTGTCTCGCATTAGTAGCTTCCCGTAAACTTTTTTTTCTCTCTCAGCATCGTGACTCTCTTTCTCTCTGGGTTCAAAGGAGGCATCGTCAACTCTCCGTCTTTCTCCTGCACCACTCCCTATATTCCTCAGCCCTAAAGAACAACTTCCAATATCTTTTGCTCTTCCTCTCTTTTAGCATCTTTCTGACCAGCAGCCAAGAAACAGCTCATAACTACTAAGTGATTGCATTTTTAAGCACAACCAGCCCTCAATACTTGTGTGCGTGCTCGCTCTGGATGACATTACAGTTTAGAGGCCTGGCATTTCCTCCCTGTCTGAGTCCAGAAACTATTTGTCATTACAATATTTATAAATGATTTAATGAATAAAACATGTAGCAGAAGCTTTAATGAGGGAGCCTGTTGGTCTGTGTCGAGTCAGTATCCTAATCTAACTTGAAAAGCAACGTGAGAAAAATATCAAAGACGCTGAAGATACAACGCTGACTGCAAAATATCAAGTCCAAGCACTTTAGCAGCTCACTGTATAGTGTATGGCATATTTATGACTTTTGGTACCAAATACACTACAGGAGATATGCATAGCTTTCTTGTCATTTCTTCAAGTAGTCTTCAGGAATAGTTCTCCAGGCTTTCATTCAAAGCTCTTCTTTGGATGTTTGCTGCCTTTTGTTCTGTTCTCTGTCAAGATGATCCCACACTGCTTCAATAATGCTGAAGTCTGGGCTCTGGAGAGGCCAATCCATGACCGAAGTTCCACTGTGTGTCCTTCTAGCCAGCTGTGCTTTTACTGCATTGGCAGTGTGTTTGGGATCATGCTGAAAAATGAAGCCAATCAGATGCTTTTCAGTTGTTACTGCATATCGAATTAAAATCTAATGGTATTTTTCTGCATTCATAATTCCATCAGTTTTAAAAACACCAACAACACTGACTGAAATGCAGCTCCAAGCCATGACAGAGCCTCCACCGTGTTTTACAGATGGCTGTAGACACTGTTGTACCTCTCCTGACCTTTTCCAAACATACTGATGAACAGTTAAACCAGAAATGTCAAAACTGGATTCATCACTCCATCAGACATGTTCCCGCCTATTTTCAGTACAGTACAGTCTTTCTTCTTTCCCTTCTTGAGAGCCATCCTTCCACCATCTTTAGTGAACAGTAGATGGATCGACTAAAGGGCCAGATACATCTCTCTGATCGTATGTCAGGTCTTTGCTGGATTTCTTTTTCTTATTTCTTAAGACCATGACTTTCAAATACTCTTCATCTGCTGTAGATACTTGTTTAGTTCTTTTGTTTGCTACTTACAATTTCATTCATTTTTTAAGAATATGCTGCACAGCATGCTGAGATATAAGTTTTCTACTGATAGTGCTTTGGGAACGTTAGTGTAAAACATTTTCTGCCTGTTAAACTCTGTTATCTTTGACACTTTTCATAGATTTAGCTCAAGAAATGGGAAGAAATTTTGTGTCTTTGTCACAGCTGTTAACGGTACACCTAAGACAACACTGATCCATCTGCTAAGTTAGCTTATTAATGTTTGAATGATTCATAGGTTAGTGTTAATGGCATAATAAACAAAAAACACTCCTTTGAAATGATCGGCTACTAGGACTGTAATATAAAAGAGTGAAAACCAGCCAATATCTAAAGGCAATAGTTTAAGAGCACTTTAAACACTTTAAAGAAAGCCTGGCTCTTTGCGATATATAGTATATATCTTAAGATGTGTGTTCTGTGCCAGAGTAATTGAGCCTGCTGCTGGCATGGCTAACAATACTTAGTATTCGCAGTGAACAGACATAAAACACATGTGAGTCAATAAGCTGTCCATAAACTTACAAATCTTACTTCCTCTGCAGTGACATCGTGGTGAACCCTGTACCCGGTCCCGTTGTCTCTCGGATCGTGACATTTGCCCGGACCTTTACCCTGGGCGTGGCTGGTGTAATACCGGACAAATCGTGAGCGGCGGACCAGCAGGTGAAGCAAGAAGCACAGCATTTCCATGCTGATGGAGACGAGGAAGAAGATCAGCGTGTTCTTCTTGTCATCTTTGATCAGCAGCTTGGTGAAGATGCGGGACAGCGAGATGATCACCCCAGCCGTACCTGAGGAGGGTACGTAAATGATGAAGGAGATGAAGAAGGTGAGGAGGATGACAAAGTCTGGCAGCAAGAGCTAACGTAAACGTGTGTGCTAATCGTTGAGTGTACTTACTCTCTCCAGTCATTACCCCCTGTGTGTACCTCTTGGGCAGCATCCCCATGTAACCATAGAAACTGGACTGCTGCACTGAAGAGGGAGGAGGGAGGCAGTTATCAGTGTAAATAGAGGCCCAACAGTCAACATTGTAACAACACGATTTATTTAGAGGGGAACTTAATGAACCACCACACACCACTTGAGAGAAGCTGCTCTGACCCTCAGACCTCCACTAATTAAACTGATATTACAGCAGGCAGAAACTGAGTTCTCACTGACAAACACACAGAGGAAAACGACTCTATGTATTAAAGTCGGCAGCACCTGAGGACCAAAACCTCTATTGGGTTTGTGTTTATCCCAACAGGGGGAGCTCTGACACATATTTAGTTATAATTTATTATCCTTTTAATAAAAGCAATTGTCCTCATAGCGCTATATTGTTTTCCACAAACTCATGAGGGAACTGTCTGGCTATTAAGGAGCTAAATGTTCCACTTTTTCTGCCTTCTTTTACAGGCTGAATCGGTGATGTACAGGCTTTAGCAGAGTGTTGTTGTCTGCTAGCTGCCTGCAGACAAAACAGTACATTGTCTGTAAGCTTTTTGCTACGAGCCACACTTTTCACATAGTCATATACAACCAGCAGCTCCAGGACTAAACCCAATGCAGGTCCTCTAATCTCCACTTGAGGCACAATTGAGACAATTTCAGAGTCCCTGAAATCAACCTCATTAAGGTGATTGTGTTGTTAGCGCCTTTTGGAGGGTTTTTTTAATGGAATTATCAGGCAGACCTCCAAATACGTTTGTGCAACAGTTATGGCGATTCAAATTCTAGTATTTGAATTGCTTTAGGTAACAGTAGTCTGTTACCTAAAGCTATTATTACACATGTGTTTGTGTTGCATCGGTATATTTCAAAAATGTAGCTTGCTAACCAAGCTAATTTGTGCCATCTGATATCTGAGCTGTGCACCCTTCATCCACAAATGGTCTTTAATGGTTAAAAAAACTCACATGAGAGCCATCATTTACATACAGCCTGGACAGTAAAACTAGCTAACATCTCTATAGCCTGGGACAGAAAAAGAGAGTATTTGTCTCGAAACCTAATTTCTCCCTTCATTAAAAAAATCTGCAGCGGTGAATTTTTAAACATTTTTCAAAGATGTTAAGCCTTAAAGCTTATAAGCATTGTTACTGCGTTGATTTATACGGGAGACAAGACACAGGTGGCTGTAATAGCGGCTAATGATTGCTAGGCTTTTGAAAGGCTAGCAAACATTTCTCAAAGGCTGCTAGTTTCAGTTAAGTCCGAAATTACATGCAGCCTGTTTGTGGCAATTGTGTGTGATAAACTGATAAACTGGCATGTAGATGGAAAATCTTTTGCCATCTACATACATAGAAATTCATATTAAGTGCTCATTGCACAGCCAGAACCTAATGGATATGAAACTGAAATTCTGAAATTTCTCCACAAAAGTGACATAATTGCTGCGTCTCTGTAATTTAACTGCAAAATGCAAGAAGTGCTTGACCACCTCGATTTTATATAGACTACAACCAGAATACAACCAGGTGCCAGGTAGCTGAGCCGAGTTCCCTACTGCAAAGAGCCACATCGCAGACAAGTTGCGCTAATTGGTGCAGATGGACTGATTGTAACATGTTGGCAATCTGTCTTTCTAGCCTTTCATCCAATTATAGTTTATCTAATTCCAAAAAGTCAAGGCTGCAAGGATGTAGTCAAGAGTGGCTCTTCTGCCTTTTAAGTGTAGTCTGTCATTCAGTTCGTTTAACCATTATTAGGGTAAAAGAACATCAAAGTACCTGTACATCCAAAGGCCACCACTCCCACTGATACCAGGTTGATGACATAAGCCTGCTTGGTGGTGAACTTTTCCAGCCAAACGTCGAACACGCTGACAAAGATCAGGGGCCCCAAAGCTAAGATGTAACCTGCAGAGAGAGTGACAGGCTGAGTCAGTGATCCAGGTAATGTTGTGACTGCAGGACTGAACACATATTTGATAAGAGTGAGGAAACTATATGTGAGGCAGTTCATTAACTCTTTAACCTGGGGATATGCTCTCAAGCTGACGTCAAACTTCAAAAGACCTTTAACCAAAAATACAAGCACAGCTATTTTAAGCAGCAGAGGCTATTGCGGTGAAACCCCGTTCTGAAATTTAGCATGTATGTGCAGTGATCTCAAACTTCCGGGGAACATGCATATTTAAAGAACTTTTTATCATGATTTTTTTAAGGGTGAGCTTGAAGGGCTTTAATATTTCTAGGTTCATCTCCAATATCACAGTTTGAGAATAATTTCTGCAAAGATTAATATTTTTGGCCACATCTCTCCAGTATCTCCAGCTAAGACTTTAACAAACATGATTTTAAATCAGCCTGTATGTGCTCGCCTGTTACCGAACAGCTTATTCAAAGAGCATAGCAAATCACCTTTAATGATGTTTTTGAAATATGAAAGCAATCTGAGGAAGATGCAGATGAATCCTGAAACCGCTGCTTGTCAATTCACAGTTTTCGGCAAAAGCCAAAAAGGGATCTCCTGTGGTGTTTATGAATAAAGACCACAAGAGATCCATGGAAAAGTGGATTTTTATTTATCTTTATAACATTTTCCCATTTTTGCACACTCTGATAAGCTTTGAGCTTCCTGCTGTTTTTTGACAGTTGTTACTACTGCTGGAAGTAGTGCACCATTTTATGTGTCCACACGTGAAGGACAGCTTGTAAGGTTAGGCTTAAGAATTAAAAATACAACTGATTTTAACCAGCAGTGAAGTTTTTGGCTTTATGCTTCATGTGTGTGGGAGTAAAATATGATTTTTGACTCATTAAAATGAAATATAAATCTTGGCATATCTTGACCAGCACTTCACTTTCAGCATGCTATAAGGCAGAAATTATACACCAAAGCCATTAAGACAACATGAAGAAGCTTAACTAGGATTACAAAACGATCAAAGACCATAATAAGAGTTATGTTCCATTACCAACCACAAGCCAAGTCTTGTGTCATTCTTGTGCAAATTCTCCACAAGGTCAGACGTGCAACGCTCAGAGAAACTTCATCTTGGACTCTACAGGCCTCAGCCAGCACGTCAAATGGTAATGTTCACCACAGTACAGTGTATGGCTCTTTCAAAAGGTTTGAAGTGAAAGCCTCGTCTCTCTAAAAGAAACATGACAGCACAGATTTGCAAAGATAGAACTGAAAAAAAAAAAAGACTTCTGGAACAATGGTCTTCTCAGTCCAAAGGACAGAGTGAAGATGTTTGGCTATAAAACACTATTTGTCAAAAACCAAACACAGCACATCAGCGCAAACAGCTCATACCAACTTCCAAGCACGGTGGGGGACGTTGGATGATTTGGGCCCTGCAGCCACTGAGTTGACCATGAAATCCTCAGCTCATTCTCACTCCAGAGGCATAACATCCTGACGATTTGTTACATCTGGCAGCGTTCCTGAGGAACGTGGAAGGCGACCTTCGGCGTTCTTAAGGTAGCGCCGGGTTATGGGTGAAATACAGTAGAATGACGATCCCGTGGTAAAACATGTTCCAGCCATGTATTCCAGCCTTAACCATAACCTTATACCTAACCTTAACCAGCACTTTAATGACGTGAAATAGTGTTTTCCAAAGTGATTTGAGGAAAATGAACAAATATGTGTGGATTAATTCCAAACAGTTCTCATATTTCCTTATTTTTCCGATCTCGTCATTTAGGAACATGTTGGGTGCCCGGAAGCGTAACATGTTGACGATTTGTCACCTAGCGTAAAATATTGAGCCTCGGGAGAGAGAACGTGTTTAAATTCTCCAGAGTATTCTAGAGTCATATGTGAGGCCATCTGTCTGACAGCTTGGCCCAGGCTGGTCTTTCAACAGGACCATGATTGCAAGAACATCAGCAAACCTACAACAGAATGGCTGAAAAAGAAAAAAATCAAAGTGTTGCAATAGCCCAGGCTCAACCTGACTGAAATGCTGTGCATAAACAAATGCCCACAAGGTGCACTGACATTTTTGCAATACGATAATGTGAGAGACTGAAGTCATACAGAAAACAGCTTCTTCAATTATTGCTATCAAATGTGGTTCTCCAAGCTGCTGAATCATAGGGTGCACACACTCTACCGTTCATTTTGCCTTAGTGTTTGTAAAATAAAGTGGCATGGTGTAAAAATATATCTGAGGTTATATTTAAATAGTCTGAAGGCCAAGATAATTTTTTTACACCCTGATCTGTGAAAGAATTGAAAGGGAATGTGCTTTCTTTTTCATGACTGTAGTTCTCAGTGAAGCTCCCCTGTGGGTAGATCTCTTCGGGACTGTGTGGTCCCAAAGTATTTAATAAGTAACAGGGTAAGTTTTAATGGAACAGTTTTTAATTTTCCACTCGATCTGTGCTCTTGGCGCCTCTCTAACTTACCCACAGTGATCCTGGTGTGCATGCTGAGTCGCTCCACCAGCACATTGTTGAGGATGACGGCCAACAAAGCCACTAAGATGTACGTCAGACTCATGTCAAACACTATCGATGTCCCTGAAACACAAGGGAGAGATGTGACAGCGTAGCCTCGAGCTGTAACCGCAAATGGGACTTTGTGCACACTCATCCATATTTATACCTTTAAACTTCTGATGCAGGTAATCCACATCTGTGATGAAGCTGTTGTAGGGAAGCAGGAAACCCACTCCAGCCAGTAGCATTGCAAAGTAGATGCCATGGTAACGGTCGTCAGGGATCGGTTCCTCAAAGTCTGAGCAGCAAAATGGGAGTCATAGGTTAGAGAATTAAAGCAGCATGAAATCAGACGGCGGGATATGATTAACATCTGAATTAGTACTGAAGCCAGAACACTCTGTTTTCAGAGAAGCTAATCAGGAGGAAGAAAGGTGCAGCGGCAGCAGGAACGCCTCTGTTCCACTTGATGGAGCAGCTGATGGTGGAGCAGACTGTTGCGCTTGTGTTAGTGAAAGATTAATCATGGGGATCTCAGATCATGGTCTAGCTGTCGAAATAGCTTCAGTTAAAACTCGTACATTTCTGTTTTGCAGCCGGATCGGTTACATGGAGAAAGTGTGATGTGCAGGTTTTTTATATAACTGTTCTTAATCCTTTCCTAATCCCGTAAGCCTAATATTAATGGCCCCAAATCATTCATCATGAGAATTTAGGCTTTACTGCAGACTGAGTGGGAAAACGTCCTTCTCACTGACTCATGTCACTACTTTATTACTATAGAAACAAAAAAATTATTTACTGATACATCTGTTGATACAAATGGATTTTCACCCTTTTAGAATTAATTTGGCCGCTGAAAATAAAAATCAATGTACACCTTCATAAAACCTGTTGTCCTCTGCTCAGAAACACAGTTGTTGTGCAGCTGCAGAACTGAAATGGCATCTTAAGGTTAACTCATTCTCGGAGGCTGCTTTGCCACATCTCCATCTTTTATTTTCTTCTAGGAGAAGGCAGACTCTGTGGAGATTGCATCCCCTGTCTGTTTTGTTGCATACTGAAATATGAAGACTGGCAGCTTCAGGAAAGAAAGGGAAGCAGTAAAAAAGAGCAAAATATAAGTAAGAAACACATGAAGAGAGCAGGGAAAAAGGCTTCTGCCTGCAAGGCCGTCATTGTGCGTCACTGGTCACTTATGACCTGATTAACATGGCCTTTGTGTAACCCGTGTAACCAGGCAACACAGCAGTTTTTTGTTATCAAGACCGCCGTCTGCGTCTAACATGCACTGCCCATACAAATCTTCAAGACGCTTATTAAATCCATTCTGACTTATTATTTACAAAAATTTAAGGGCCCTTTGATGGACTGGCAACCTGTCCAGGGTGCACATCACCTCCTGCCCAAACACAGCTGGGAAAACCAATCGGTTTTCTACATTTGGAAGAACTTATCCAGAGGTTAAGTGGGCTGGAATAATCTAGCAGCACGGCCATGTTTAACCTTTGATTTAAAAAATCTGATGTCACTTTCAACATTGTTCATTTTTGAAATAAAGTTTGCATATTAGTTATCTGTTGTGGTAGCTGTTGGTATAGAAGCTTAGCTGAAGTTTGATAGTCTCATTGTTAGAAATGGTAAAAAGGGGAGGGGGAAGAGACTTAAAGCTTAATATAACTAAAATTTTTATTTCAGATTTTTTAAAACATTTTTTTTCTGGTTAGCTGCTGTTGTAAAGTGTATTTGACAATAAATCAAATGACAATACAGCGCTGTGAAAAAGTCTTGAGCCACTTCTCAATTCTGCTTCTAAACAGCCAGACTTTCTAGAAAGTTCTTCAGACTTTCTGAAGAACTTTAATAGTTTTGTCTCTCTCTCTTTTTTTTTTCTTTTTCTTTGCTTTACATTGGCTACCTTTTTACTCATTTTCAGTCCGGTATTGGCTCTTTTCAGAGGAACATTCAAATATAAAAAGGCACCTAACTTAAGGGATGAACCACTGTAGTGTAATCCACGTAACAAACAAAGAAGAAGAACAGCAAAGAATCAACTTTAAATTGTATCTTCAGCCACTTTGTTGCAAAAACCTTTGTTAAAATTCCTTTAGTATAATCTATAAAAAATCCCACAGACAACACAGTTTGACAGGAATAACTTAGTATTTTTGTACCATTGAGGTGATTCCCAAAAAGGTGTTAACTGAAAACGGCTCATTAGTATGTAGAGATGAGGTCAGTAGAGAAGTACAACAGTGGGTGTGTACAGCCATCTGTAAAACATGGTGGAGGCTCTGTCATGGTTTGGGGCTGAATTTCAGCCAATGTTGTTGGAGATCTTGTCAAAATTGATGGAATTCTGAACACAGGAAAGTATCATCACAGTTTGATACACCGAGCAATACCATCGGGCAACAGCTTCATTTTTCAGCTTGACAATGATCCCAAACACACTGCCAATGCAGCAAAAGCATACCTAGATAGAAAAACACACAGTGGAACCCTATTAGTCATGGATTGGCCTCCCCAGAACCCAGACCTCAACATTATTGAAGCAGTGTGGGATCATCTTGACAGAGAACAGAACAAAAGGCAGCAACATCCAAAGAAGAGCTTTGTGTCCTTCAAGAAGCCTGGAGAACTATTCCTGAAGACTACTTAAAGAAATGACAAGAAAGCTGCCTAAGAGAGATCAGACTGTGCTGAAGAATAAAGGTGGTCGTACCAAATCTTGACTTTCAAGCTGATTAGAATTATACAAACTCTGTTTTGTATTATATACTGTATTTACATGTATGTTTGCACATGTTTCAATAAATCTCTGCACCCATTTTCCTAATTAAATATAAAGAAATTATGAGTGACTCAAGGCTTCTGCACAGTGTTGTGTTTTGTTGTTAAACAAACAACAATAAAAAAAAACACTGCAGTTTAAACCAGAACAAAGTTGATTTGGATGGATGCAGTGAAGGTGAGTTATCCACACTCACTGACAGCTCGGGTTCGCAGTCATGCAGTTTGAGTCTCTCCACCTCTCTCTTGTCAAATCCCACATAATGTTGTGGCGTATGTGCTTGTTTCAGGTCAAACCAACAAAGGTGAGCAGATCACAGCCCGTCCACACAGATACAATTTCAGCATGTCTTAAAAGATAAGACAGTTTGGGTAGTTAATCTGCAGTATCAGTAGCAGTGATGTAAAAGATCTTGGGATTCTTCGATCTATACAACTGTGCAAACTCTGAAAACTTCCAGCTGAAAAACCTATGACCATCTTTTTCACTGCTTCTTACAATCTCAAATATATTTTAAAAACATCCAGAGCAGAGGTTTACTGCCCTCTGAATACATATCTAACAGTTAATCAGTAAATATGTAAACAGCACATGTAAATGCTATTCTGTCTAAATTCTTTATATATAGAATATAATGTGAAAGTGTGGTAAACAATGAAGAAGGTGCATTTTAAATTTCCTGGTGGAAAATCATTGGCAAACACTTTTCTCTCTGTCCACGTATCTAAACACTTTGTTCCTGGTGTTTAGGAGTAGAAGGATATTAATGTGCCTTTTTTCACTTTGACAAATTGCTGTTTGTTGGTACACCTACCCCTTTCCTTCCTTCCATGTTCCTCGCCTCTCTCTTTATAAATAGTAGATTACACACACTCATGCACAGATAGAACAAAAACTCCCTCACCGGGCTCGGACAAAGCCAGCACTCCTCGCTCCGGGGCGTCTTTACTGATCTCCTCCTCCTCCAGCTGGTATGAATCGAAGCTGTAGCTCTGCACAATGCCGCTCTCTCTTCCCTCTCTCCAGCCCTCCCTCCAAACAGATCTTCCTCCATCCCTCCACACGTCCCTCTCCTCGGGTGTCTGGGCCGGCGTGGGCCTGCGGCGCTCCGCGCCCACCGAACCCATTCCTGCACTTGACGTACGCTCGCGAAGAAACACGCACTGTGGTTGATTAGACAAGCTGTGCGCTCTCGTGAGCGTGCATGCTAGACGCAATCACAGAGGCACGCCCTGGAAGAGATGCAGGAGACCTTCCGATGATGGAGGATCTGCAGGGCAGGAAAAAACAGGAAACAGAAATAAATATAAGAAAAGACAGAAGAACACTAGAAAAAAACGCAAGCTGTGCTTTCCGGAAAATAACAAAACTCAAGGTTAGACAGCAAAAGAAATGTGGCCCCCCTGTTTGTGTATGTGTGTCGGTGTGAGAAGCATATTAACAGAGAGAAACAGAATGACAAAGGATGCATGAATGAGTGACAGACAAGGTGAGCATAAATGCATCTCTGCATTCAGTAAAGAGGCGCCGAGAGAGCTGCTGCTGTGCAGTGTAGAAGAGAGGAAGAGGTCCAAGTGGAAATCAATTAGCTGACTAACAGAAATATCCGTCATCTACAATTCAAGTCATTGATTACTAGTTTGCATTTTTGCAGCTTTACAATTCAACAGAGAAGCCCACTGTATTCTTTCACCTGTTGAATCGTTTTCTCTACAAAGATCAGAAAACAGAGCACGATGCTCATCACAGTTGCAGCATGCAATACCAAAAACACCTCAACACTCGCTTGGAATCTCTTGTTGTCACCAATACCCTGATTTTTATTTCTAGCCAAGTCCAAATCTAGTCAGTTTGCAGGCTTATAAATGAGATAAGCACTGACCTTTGCTACCGAGCAATTATTGAGAAACTTGATTAGCAGTCAGAACACACGCCAATAAATTCTCTGCACTATGACTGAAAGTGTAGCCTGCTGAGGAGCGGAGGAACCCCTGCTCACTTTTAAATGTAAGTTAGTCCCTTCTGTCATCAGAGCAGCTGAGCTGCGGTTCAATACGTGTTTGCATTTACTTCAGTCAACATTGTTACAAGCTGGATCAATATTAATGGCCGCTGATGTTGTTCCATACTGGCGTAGAAAGAGAGCACAAAAGCGCTTCTATTCTGCGCACCTGGCTGCATTGTGCAAACACAAGGAGGACATGCAAAGAGGAGGCAACAATTCAACCCTGCGGCCTCGCTGCCAGTCTCCCTGCTCACCTCTGGAGCCCTGCAAGTGCTATTTCACTCCAGGCCAACAGCACGAAGCTCCCGAGTGCGGAACAAGCCAGCTTTATTTCTTTTTATGTTCTATTTTAATCCTCTGCTGTCTGGAAACTGGTAGGATCGGATGATGTAAGAAGGTTATCATCTGTGTAACATCACGGGCCCCGGTGGCCCCCTCAGAGGAACAGGTGATTAAATACAAAGCAGTGACAGCTCTGTTTATGAAGTAAAGCCGGGCTGCTGTTCTAGATCCGATATGATCCCAGTTTACGCTCTGTACAGATTCCACGTCCAGACTTCGGGCGGCGCTCGCAGCCCTTCTCCTTTTAAATCAAAAGGCTCCAGCCAGCTGCTGTAATTGAATTGCAGTCTGATGTGCTGCAGTTTCTATTGTTGACTTAAATGAGCAAAGAAAATTATAAAAGAAAGGAAAGAAAAGGAATAAATAAAACTAACATCTCGTTTTACGCCTTCTGAAGAGCGTACGTCTGCAGAAATGGCAAATGAACACATTAACTCACAATCATTTGCTTTTGATAGAAAACGCGTGATTTTCATAAAATCTAATGAAAAAATAAATACATACATAGAAAATAAACATGAGCAGGACGTTAGAGCGGAGGGCGAAACAGAGATAATAATGCCAGTTCCTCTTTTAGAAATCCAGCCCAGTCAGTCCAGCACGGCTAACGTGTCGCTCTCACGTCGCTCATTCGGCTCTCCTCTTTATGAACGACAAACAAAAACACACCAACAACAGGTTATTAACGGCCCGTTACCTCCCGAGTCTCCCCTCTCGCTCCTCTCCCCCTCTCTCTCGCCTTCCTACAGCAGCAGCGAAGTCCTTCCTGCAGGATCCTCGAGGTGGTCTCCGCCGACCGCACTCGCTCCTTTCCTCAGCGCCGTCTCCATCAGACAGAGGGGGAAAGCTCCGGGTTTCCTCCTCCGTGGGGTCCTAAAAACGCACCATCCAGCGGCAGAGGCAGAGGGAAGCGCGGATGGATGGATGAGGAAAGCGAAGGGGGGAGGAGGGAGGAGGAGGAGGGAGGAGGAGGAGGGGGGCACCCGCCTGTGGCTGTTCATCTTTTGCAATCAGCCTTTTGAAAGGCACCGATAGAGCAGAGAATTCATCCCAGTGCGTCTCCAACAACTTTCCAGTTTAATCACCTGCTTTAAATATTTGAAAGTGCTGCTTTGTTTTTTAATGATTTATAAGCCATGGTGTAAGTCATCAAACTACAACTAAAAATTATATTTCAGTGAAAGAAAGGGGAGAAAATGCAGACATTATGCACTTACTTCACACACCACAGTCCTCTGTGCGTCACAGGCCCATATATAAATGTGTTTAACAGTCCCTCCATCCCCCCCACTTGTTTTCAACATTTACTGGCCTGATGTGATAACCTGCATACACATGTGTCGCCAGAGCACGTGGATGAGACACACGGTGGTAGGAAATGGGGATAAATTGTGCACACCTCCACAGCAACCACAATGCTGGCAGTGGGGCCTCCAAGTGATTGACAAGTTTATCAGTTCAGTTCAATATGCTAATGCTTTATTACTGGCAAGCTCTCCGTCATGCTGCACACCCCCACTGCTGCCATAAAGGAGCCAAGCCAGGCGGGAATTAACTAAATGGGATAGCAGCCTTGTTAGGTGTGGGCCTGCTGTCAGTGTCACAGCAACAGCCTCAGGAGCTGCTGCTGTTATTGTTTCTGCTGCTGTTGCAGTGCATGATGTGAGGTCCTTGGTTTGAATGCCACTCTGAAGCTTGCTAGTTTAAGCGTTGATTTCACTCGTGCAGAGTTCAGCTCACTCATCTCCAAGCTTAAAATCACTGGTCACAGAAAAGCTCCAATGCTGTAAAGCATCAAACAAAAAGTTGATCAAATTTTTTAATGCTGAATTTGTCCTTTGGTGAATTTTAGTAATCGCCACGTTTGCACATAGCTGTTTGCTGATCTCTTAAAGATTATGTGCAGAGAGCAAACCTTTGATAGTCTGGATTTCTATTTCTGATTTCTTCCTGGCACACGCTGTGCATGGCAGACTAATTCAGAGAAGACACGCAAATTAAAAAGACGCAGGGCGAGAACACAAGTAGAAATTTTTTTTTTTAAAGTGAAGCAGCGGGAGCTGTGCTAAAGCATGTTTTACAGAAAAGAAAATCACAGCAGCATAGCAAGTACTTTTTGATGCTGCTGATTTCGTATGTCTGTCTTTTTCATAATGGCATCACTCAGACCTTTGCTTTATACCTGAAATGAGTCCAAATTACAGCCCTGTGCTATATCATCAGTGCAAAGAGTGCATTCGCTGACTCACAGCACAGCAAGGTGTATTTTTAGTTTTTTTAAACCGATTTCTGAGAAATGAACAATTTGAAGTCATGAAAAAGACAAGTGCACCCATCATTGTGTGTCTCCACACCAGTGTTACTCTGCATGTACAAAAAAGAAAAGCATTAAAATATCCCAAAGAAGACGCACTTGTCATTAAATTTCAAGCTTCGGTGTTCTCTGTACATTTAATTCTTTTCAAAGCAAAGCTGCACAGTGCTAGAAAAATTGCACACACTTTATACACAGACCTGTGTGCTGACAGGGGATTATGAGCAAAACGAATCACACTGTGGGTGTAATTTTGGAGCCATAATTACAGTATGTAGGCTTTACTGTAGATGCCCCACAGCAGAACATATGTCTGACAGATGTAAAGGACTGGCCTTTACATCTGGGACTTATTGGTTTTCTTGCAGAGTTAGATTAAAAGATCAATACCTCTGTCACAGCTGTGCCTAAAAATGCAAAGCTCACTAACAACACATTTTCCCTTGTATCTTTAAACTATTCAAAGAAGAAAAACAAATTCAATAAACAGAGCTGGCTGCTCCAGTTTGGCACTCTTTCCCCTCACTGACAGCTTTTTTCTCATTGGCTGCCCCTCCTAAAGAAAAAGCTGGTGCTGCAGATTGATAGGGCAGCTGTGTTTACAGCCTGAGCCGCCTGTCCTGTTTGATGTCATAAAGAGCCAGGAGCAGAGAAGAAGTTTGAAACGGAAAATGCAGTGCAGTCTGTACCATTTGTAACAGTATGTACTGTATCTGACACAAACGTAAGGGAAAACACAACAGGTTCACTTTAAGAGGGGCTCTTAGGAGGCTTTTATCCCTGTGGACCCATCCAGGCAACTTTTTTCTTAACTTCATGCCAAACTAATTATAAAAAATGTTGGGTTTCCCTGATTGCATCCCTTACTGCTTAGAGAATTTGAAAAGCTGAACTTTCATCTCTGAATTCCTTTCAGTTCTTAGGTTGCTACTCAGAGAAAGGAAAGAAAGTCAGTGGTTACAGCTACAGGGGAAGACGGAGACATGCAAAAAGATCTTGTGGCCGAGGTGCAGGCATTCTGACGGTGGTCCAGAAATGCTTCCTTAAGACGAATTTAATCTGTGTGAAATACCCTGGATCTGGTGCCTGCTTTATCTCTTTAGCTGGCTGTTTTGTTTGTGCACCTGTCTTCCTCTCACCCGTCTGCCTGTCTGCCTGGGTTATAACTGAGTCTCCAGCCTGCCCGTCTCACCGGCTCTCTCGTTTTGGCTGCGCGCCTGCCTCCCTCTGCTCAGCTCGTAGGAAGGCTCACATCTCTGGATTTATGCTGCATGTTGAATAGTAATGGCTCGCCGTGTTGTTTTAGCCCACAGCAATATGTCCAAAAAAAAAAGACTTCCTGTAGATTTGTTGGCATCCACGTCTCACTTATGTTGTGGAAGACCTAAATGTGTTTGCACAGTCACATTATGACTTCCCTCTTCTTGATATAAATCTTTAAATTTGAAAGCTAATAGCTTTTTTTGTTAAAAGAAAGTTGTGGTGGGGGTTCAGGTGAGACTAGATCTCCAGGAAGTAAATGTCAGTGTGATATCCTCCGAAATCATGGATGCAACACTTTGTGAGTGAGTGTGTGTGTCCCGTAAATATTTTCCTCAGTAGCTCTCTGTCATGAATGTGTAAAAAGGTCAGAGTATGTTATGCCTCCTTTGCTCAGATGGAGTTAGTTTTCTTCCCAACAATAGCCCGAGGTGCTGCACTGACAGTAGCATCTATGTGTGGTACTAGTTTATCATCTGTATCCAATATTTATCCTGCTCTTTACCACACTGCCTTAGAGCAATGTGTGTGTGTGTGTGTGTGTGTGTGTGTGTGTGTGTGTGTGTGTGTGTGTGTGTGTGTGTGTCCCTCCATCCGCTCATCCATCCCTCCTTCCAGCCTGGTAAAGATGCTGAGCCTCTGCTGTGTCTATATTTAGCTCCTGGTTCAATCAATGACGGCAGAGCCACAGCGCCATGACTCTGCATGCTGATAGTACTCCTGCCTATCACCACCTCCGCTCACCTCCGAAGAACGAGATGGAGAAAGGCAGCAGGCGGAACGGAGGGAGACAAAAGCAGGAGGATCAGCGAATGAGAGAAAACGATGACAAGAAGATGAGAGCAAAACAGGCAAAAAAGACCCAAAAAAACCACAATCAAAGACAGATGGAGGCCTTCATCCTATCACACGGGAAAGAGTACGAGAAATATGAAGAAAAGGAGGTGACGGAGACGTGCGAGGCAGGCAGGTGAAGGAGAGAGATGAAAGGAGAGAGCAGGTGTGGAAGCAAAAAAAAAAGAGGCAGAGGCATCGGGAGATGGAGACAGATGGAGCGAGGAGGGGGAAAAGAGAGAGATGAAGCGGGAAGAGGAGGTGGGGAGTTCACACGAGCAGAGATGAAGACACACGAATCGAAGGGTGAGAGAGCAGGGGAGAATAGCTGTTGTGTCTGAGGAAGGAGAGAGCGTGGAAGAGGGCGTAAAAAGTAAAGGATAGTTCAATCAAAAATAAAAGTGCATGTACAGGAAGTGGAGACTACAGGCTTTTCTGTAGCAAACAGAGGAGAGGCGCTCAGTTGATGTGAGTTTGGAGGGAAAATGAAAAGTAGAGAGGCAGGAACAGGTGCAGGAGGGAGAAAGAGGCAGAGGGAGTATATTGACTCTGCAGAGGCTCCAGTGAGATCTGACAAAGAGAGAAAAGAGAGGAAAATTGAAGGATTTTCAACAGACACGCAGCACTGCATCATGGACTAGAGAGAGAGAGTGAGGTCGGCACTGACTCACTGCTCGCTCCTGGTAATACCAAATTCAGAAGCTGTGACCTGATTAGGAATTTTAACTTCACAACACCGCTCTTTTTTTTCATGTTCATTATCTAAAGCTTCACGGCCAAAGCTAGCCACCCAAATCTGTAGAAAGTGTGAGAAACTGGAAGGAAATCAAAGCACTGCAGGTGAGTTCAGCTGAACAGCCTCACAGAACAGGCTCAGTGCAACCCAGCCTGACATCTGTACAGACCATGTGTTGATTCCTTGGATGATCACAGACTGTGTAAATGCTCCAACAGTCGAATGTGTGTGAATAATGCCAGATAAATATTTGCTTTGCTTGTGGGCGCTGAGGCCGGGGGGTAAATTTGCCGGGAAGATTGCAGCGTTTTCTTAACACTTGCTCCAGAACATCTGCTTTTATAGAGGTGCTCATACTTCCTGGTGATCAATCAGTCAAGTGCATTTGGTTATCAGCGCCTGCTGCTATTTATCCTCTTAATTCCAATGGAAGCAGTGAGGTCTTTACAGGACTGTGAAAACGTTTGAATCACACAGTTCCTAACTACCAAGCTTTTGTTTCACCTGGGAACGTAAACAAAATGTCATACAATGGCATTCCTACGACATTTATCAGCAGGAATCATTTGCTGCACAGGCTGTCCTTCAGTCCTTCAGTATGAGAAGAAGATGTCTTTGTGTAAGAGCAAGAACTTCACTGTACAACACTCAAAGTTATTTTAACAGTGGTCACTTTGTCCACAGGAGTATTTTGTGCATATGATCCTGAGCACAAGAATATCATATTTGTGTCCGAGATGACATGTTTTAGAAGTGCCTGCTACTTTCAACCACACTTTAGAATTTAATG